TAAACATAATGCGTATGTACAAGTGTTCAAGCAAAAATAATACAAAATGCAAAGTCAAAAGTGGTTAACTTAACGAACCTACTCTATGGCCCAAGATAGTTGCTAATGGCCCAAACCAATCCCTTCGGTTGAAGAGACAAAGTGAACAAAAGCCTTCTTAATTTCACCGATTCGAGTTTTTAATTTTAGATTTTTACAGTAAAAAAATTTTAAAAAATATCACATTAATTTTTTTCTGCTACAGTACTCTCAGAAAATGTTACATCTCAACTCGAATTAAAAATTCGAATCTGCGAAGTGAATGAGGTAAAAAAAAAAATTTTAAAAAGAAATTACAGAAAATTAAGATATTTAGACAATATTTCATGACTTTTAAGGTTAGATTGACTTTTTTTTATGGGTACTAAAACTATTATAAAATATACCATAGTGACATTATTTAAGTTTTGTATACTAAGCAAAATTATGTTTGTACTTTTGTGAATTTGTTTCAGTATTTTTAGATTTCTGTGACAGTTTTGTTGTTTTTTTTGTATATATTTATAATTTTTATGGATTTTAATATTTTTAAATATCTTTGACTATGGCATTTCTGTAGCAGTGTATGTTTTCTTGCATATGTCAGCCTAAAACTTGTGGTGTTTCTATTAAGTGCCCAAATTAGTAGGCACGCCTTTTACTGTTTTACATGTTCTCAGTTTTTTTTTTTTTTTTTTTAATTTATGGATACATGTTCTCAGTTTTACATCACAACTTTATGTGGTTTGAATTTTTACCACAGTTCGTAAATCTTTGACTAGTTTATTTATATAGTACAAATATGAAGTTCCAATATATATGTGGTATAAAATCTACAAATCCTAATATAATTTTTTTTTTTTTTTGGTAACATTCCTCAAAATTTTTCAACTAATTAGGTGAATCCTAGCAATAGATTTCGTATTGATCATTATTTCTTCTTTTGATAATTTCATCATCATCATATGTGTTCCGCAGATTAAAAGTAATATATATCTTGTTTTTACAGCTGCATAACATGCAGTAAAGAGTTCATAAAAGAAGCTGTATAAGCAAGAAGGGAAGAGAAGGAATCGTTTTTGATCATTTCATCATCATCATATGTGTTCCGCAGATTAAAAGTAATATATATCTTGTTTTTACAGCTGCATAACATGCAGAAGAGTTCATAAAAGAAGCTGTATAAGCAAGAAGGGAAGAGAAGGAATCGACTGCATTGGGAGAGGGTTAACAATCAGCAAGAGTATGTAAAAGTTAAAAAAGTGCACAAAGAATGGACCCCGAAATTACAAGTAATGGCTAAAGCAACCCTGGACATTAAAAATGAAAGAAATGTCATTTAAAACAACAAAAATTGCACTAAAATTCCATATTTTTTTGCCTTCCTAAACTAGACTTGTATTGTAAAACCCAACAGCACAACACACTGCAGTCCGCAGGTGAAGAGTTGCCTCTGCCTGGCCGGAGCTGTGAAAACTTCTCATCAATCATAGATAAACATCAGCTAAAAGTAAAAGCCAAAAACGCAATCAGTAGAGTCAAGAAGAGCCTCGAGTGTTCCCTGAAAGTTGACGCTGCAGAAGAGCTGTGTTTCTGGTCCCTGAAATACCAACAAAACAGGGTTAAAACTTCGGTCAAGTGTGATTAGGAAGGGGAAGAGAGATTACTTGAATACATACTTCTGCAAATTAGCAAGTGCACCACAGTATAGAGCATTATCCGGAGCAGCAAACTCCGTCTCACCATTTTCTTCTGGATTGACAATTTTCATGTATGTTTCTTGGCCTAGATACCATCTGTCAAGGTTTTCTGCTCTAATATTCCACACTCCAACATTGTCAAGAGAGATGAGAACCGCTGTCCATCCCCCAGGGAAGACCTAAATTGTAGTCACGCAGAAATATATTTGTGTATGATCAGGATCTCATATTTTCTATCTCTTCGAATGGATACAACCGAGGGAAAAAAATCAAGATGGAAAACGAAAAACAAACCTGTGTAGTGCAGCGAGAAATTGCATCCCACTTGTTATATCTACCTCTACTCTCCTCCGTCCAATTCCCATAATCCATCCTAAATGCAGATATCAAATTCTTCATTAGACTCGAACATTTGAGGAAAACAAATATTGCAACTGCAAGTATGAATAAACTCTTACCCGACAACGAAAAAGGAATAGCCATCGATATGAAAACTCTGCATCACTGTGTCATTGTTTTGAAACACGACTTCAATGAATCCCTTGTATGTAGCATTGATGACGGATATGTCTTTTCGAGGTGATCTATTAAGTGGCTTGCTTGGGAAATCAAGCTTATAAACTCCTTTAACATTATGCTTGTCAGCAAGCCTTATTGGTGTATTAGGATTGACAAAAGAGATCCCATTCAGTGCAGCCCGAAGAGTCCCATTGATCGTCAATGGCGGCACACTCTTTAGCACATATGTATCGGTGATATTAATCGAACCATAGTGAAATGAACCCTGTGGATTAGGGCGAGCTCCACTCGCAGAACCATTTTGCCTGAAATTGTAAGAGCAGGAGACTTTAGACAAATTAACCAGTAACAAATAAACTGCAAAAAGAGATCAACACTAAAACCAAATCTTTAGGTCATCCATGAATATTTCTATTTCCTATCCATTGAGATTTGATGATACGAAGTGAAGCTCTTGAAGAGATAAAGTTACAAGAACAAACCTGACACTGATCGCCTGATTCAGTGACCATGTTTTGTCATAGACGTCATTTGGACCCTCGGGGAGAGGACCACTGACTGGACCTCGCGAATTAGAATAGTGCAGGACGGCAACACCAGTGACCCTTTGCCAAAGAGATTCATTCACAAACCTGGCACTTGCCACAATATAGTAATCAGAACTGGCATTCTGATCCATGGTAACCAGAAAAGAGTAGGACTGCCCAACATGAATATCGAAGTTGGAATAATTTTGTTGCATTGTGTAATGCCCCTCTGCTTCAGCCAAAACTAGATTGTGATTCTGAATTCTGAAATTCAAACTTGTAGAAATTCCAACGTGGTGGACACGAAGTCGATAAGTTTTGCCTGCGAAACATAACAACATTTCAAACAATTGGCCATAAAACATGTGAATAGTAGACTGCAAAAATAGTAACAAAAACAAAAAAGGAGGAATAGAAATCTTAGATCAACCATGCAATGATAATATGATCTATGTTGCAGCTAGAAAAGAAGGCGGTTAAGACACAAAAGAAATTATCAGCATATAAGAAAGGTTCAAACATGAGATTATTTGGTCAAGGTGCTCAGAGACACATAAAACGCCAAGAAAAAAAATGAGGAAAAAAAATTCAAATTTGGAAATAGAAAAATACATAAACCCTTCTCCAGACTTATAAAACATACCCGGCTCAACATTAATAGTTTCATAATCGATGCCCTCAGGCACAAGCGTAGTATTGTAACGAAACGGCCCTTTTCCATTGATGAGAACACCGTCGGGCATCCCAAGATCATTTCCAGCATCTAAGGCCTTCCGTAATGCCTGAAATTCAGAATGAGATTGTGCATTATTCCTCAGTCCTGCCATCCTAACTTCATTGTTCTCAAAGTGACAATATCAACAGAATAACAATGCAAAGAAAACTAACCGTGTGGTTCTGCGTATACCAGTCCCCGATAAAGATTTCGATATCCCCATCAGGCTGTGCAAAGGGAATCGCAATCACAGGGCGATTATTGGCGACAAAGGGACCAAAGCCACCTGCTGCTCTCTGGAAATTGAGAGACGGGAAGTAAAAAAAACTACCAATCTGGTCCTTCACTTGAAAGTCATAAGTCCAATTCCATTTCGGAGGAATAGGACAGTTGGTCCCAAGAACACCATCTTGCCATGAATCGCGTCGCATTTGAATTCCAGACCTATCAGAATCATCCACTCAATACATCTCAAAAACTTTCCACTCTCCCAATATGAAAACCAAATGGCGTGGGGAAAAAGAAAACAAGTAAAATGGTTGGTGTTCTCAACTCAAAACCTACCAAGTAATCAAGAGATCCTCATCCAATTCATTAAACACGTTAACAATGACATTGTAGTTTGTGGTGGCGTTAATACGAGGTCCGGGAAACTTATCATTAACTGCTATAACCTGCCATCGAAAAAAAAAATCCAATGAAAATAGGTAGATAAGAATCACATTATACCTATTTTGTTCACGCCTACTCAAAATCAAGTATACTCTTAATCCAACTATTTTCACTTCAACCAAAAACAGGTGAATTGAATTGCCATTCATTACAAGAATTGTTCTGGGAAACGGTGAGAATAACTAAATTAATATACCAAAAATACACAGAAAACTAAACGTTCATAACACCCCTTGTCTTTTTCAGTGAGGAGATTAATTCCAGAATCAAAAATCAATCAAACAAAATAACATCTTCGGCCAAGAGCAGCAAAAAATTACGAAACGAAAATTACTTATGCACACTAAACCAGCAGATTGAATCCAAAAGCTTCCACGAGTCCGATAACCCAGACACGAAACGAAAATCATACCCAAAAATAGGTTTGTCAATTTGTTTTACCGCTCAAAAGAAAACTAAGAAAGCAGAAAAAATGGAGTATGAGAGAGAGAGAGAGAAAAGAAACCTGTTGCTTAACGCCAAGAGGAGAGACGGTGATGTAAGAGAAATGGAACTCGTAGGAAATGGTGGGGTCGGCGGCGAAGCAGAGATTCGCTGAAAGCAGAGCAATGTGAACGAAGACACACAGCAGAAGAGAAGAGGACTGAGACAGAGCCATCGCAAACTGCAACGAGAAAAGAAAAACCAAAAAAAAAAAAAAACCGAATTCTATGAAATGGCTTCTTTTCTTCACATTAATCAAATGGAGGCGAAAAGACAGAGAGTCTCAGTGAGGGTTTTAGAGAGAGAAAGAGAGAGGTTGTTTTGTGTTCCTTTTGAGAATGAGTTTTTTCTCTTCGTCCGAAGAGAGAACTATAATGCCACAGTACTCCCACACGGCGTTTTCTTAAACCTCTCCGTTTTACTAAGCGCGTTTGGTCACCGTTTACTGGCTCAGCCCGTCTGGTTTTTAACTGCTAATTATTACGATATTTTTTTCATTTATTTATCTATGTCATTAACATTTAAGTGGTTTGTTTTAGAATTTGAATCATGATTCTCACTCTGTTATAGTATTTTTTTTTCATAAAAAAATTTAAATAAAAAATTTTTGCTAATAAATTCTCTTACAAAATTTAAATTTAGAATTAGAATCACTAATTTAAATGTATGAACCATAAAAATTATTAATCTAAAAAATACTTTTGTTAATTCTATTACTGCATATAACATATGCGGTCAATTAAATGGACATTGGATTGTAAAAGAAGTCAATAGCTCAAATGTCATTTCGGTTTCTACGCATGATCTTAAAACTTTTTAATGGACACACATTTTTTTAGTAAAATATTTAGGAAAGAAAAAAATAATGGAACGTGTTTTTTTTTCTTTTTGAAGGCGTGGAGCGTATAGTTTCAGGCCCTGTTCATTTCGCTGATTCGAGTTTAGAATTCGAGTTTTGATACAGTAAAAAGCTCTCACAAACAATCACATCTAACTTTTTTGCTACAGTAAAAAGCTCTCACATAAAATCACATCTCAACTCGAATTAAAAACTCAAATCAGCGAACTAAACGGGCCCTCAATTGAGAGTAATTAACGTCTTTTTAATCAGTAAAAAAAATTAACGTCTTTTGATAGAATCACTTTTTTTTATAAGTATGCGACCTCAGTTGTTCTTTCAAATTTAAGAAACTATAATTTCAAAATATATATATATACACACACATATGCTTTTCTGAATATTAAGAAATTTCCAGAAAAAAAAGAAAAAAAAACACTGATGAGATATTTAGGCCTCGTTCACTTCGCGGATTCGAGTTTTCAATTCGAGCTGAGATGTGATATTTTGTGAGAACTTTTTACTGTAGCAGAAAAAGTTAGATGTGACATTTTATGAGAGCTTTTTACTGTAAAAATCTAAAATTAAAAACTCGAATCGGTGAAATGAACGAGGCCTTAATCTGTCCTCGTGAAGAACAATGTTGAAAAAATAAAGATTAAAAAATGGGGGGGAGAGAGACAAATTTTGGCTTAAAGTTTGAATAACCGGCTATAGCCGATCTCAGTCTCAGGTCGAGGTGGATGGCGACAGCTAAGAATCAGCCGTGGCCCACAGAAACCAAAAAAACTGCATAAGTTTCGGCGTTTGGCGCTCTCTCTCTCTCTCTCTCATGAGATTTTCTAACGTTCAGATTTTCTGAAAAGCGTCCCACATGGCCCAGCTTTGGCCCACATTCAATAACCAGAAAAAAAAAAAAAAAAAAAATATATATATATATATATATTTAAAGGTTTATCCATCTTACCCGGATTCAATTTTTTTTCCCGTTTTAATTTTCCATTCGCCTTTTTCTTTTTTTGGGTGTGTGAACAAAAAAAGAATACTTTTTTAAGGTAATCCGTCTATTAATCAAATTTCCATAAAATAATGATACTATTTTCCTTTTTTTTTTTTTCCTTCCTAGAAGTTAATAGTCTTTTTTGTGTCTTTCGTATGGTTCCTTACGTGGAAAAAGAATAGAATCGACAAGAAGCATCAGATTGTAGATGCATAAATGCAAATGTACAAATTAATATTTTCCTTCTAAGTTATGCCAAACCTAAAAACAAGACCATATTCAAGTCAACCATTAACGTATGCAAAATCTCCAGTATATATATATTCTTAAGAAAGAAGTTATCATTCTATCACATGTCTTTTCTTTAGTCCTTTATATGGGTTATCCTATCTCACAAAGACCAAAATATTGATTCAAAAATACATTAAGAAAAGGATTTCTAACAGTGCCCAAAGCGTTGGTTTAATCTTATTTCTTAAACAATAAGAAAAGTCATCGATAATAATTTAATTTTATCCTTTCATGATCTTCAAAATCTTTAGCCTCTTGAATTTTATTTCCTGGGGTAACCCTCGTGGTTCTCCCTAACCAACCTAAAATAGGAGATAGAGTTGGAAAAATAAGTGAGGACAGACATATTACTTTAGATTTTTAAAAGGGGCTCTATAGTTTTAAATTAATTTTTAGGTGGCAAAACTACAAATTTTAGTGAAATATACATACAAAATAAAAATAAAAATAAATAAATAAGATGGCCGCCTACCCTCGACCAGGTGTAACACCACTCTTGCATAGGGAAAAAAAAAAGAAAAAAAAAAAAAAAAGAAGAAGATAAGCATTGCTTAGTTCATTCTTAAACGGTTGATTGTTACATCCACGAGCATTTAATTTACACCTATCTTTTTTTAACTCTACATATTGTCTTTTCTGCACATTTCAATATTATCTATATATAAGTTGTAAAAATAATATATTTTTTGGACAATGATATGGTAGAATTCAATGGTGGAAGACAGCTTTTATATATGGAGTATTCGTGGGACTAAGGTTTTCTGGCAACATGTGCAACTATGCTCTTCTATTAAGATGGCAGACTTGCAACCCACAATTCCCTTTTATTATATTTAATTTCTAACATTTTATTTTAAATTTACAAAATAAATAACTTTGCATTATTGGAATTGGTCAACGAAATTATTAATCATGTAGCTAACGAATAGAGTGTCAGTGTGTTCAACAGAGATGAAAATAGAGGGGATATAGTGATAGAGGATAAAGCACAATTTCTTGAAATTGTGCAATATATATAAATCATAAATAATTAATTAAGAAGTTCTTAAGGCAATAATGACGATCTGGTTTAAGTTGTCATAATAGGTAAAGATGTTGGCGTATTGGTATATATTAAGTTGATGGGGGTTTATTAAGAGAACACTAATTGTGTTCTCTTAATGCGGTTTCCACTTTCTTTATTATTTGTTCACTTTCATGCTTTCACTGTCAATGGTGGAATTTTCATTCAGGGTCGGGCGTGTTTTGTACTTATTGCTTGGATTTCCCAATTGATCTTAAAATTGGTCATGGAAAGTTTAATGGTTAAAATGGAAACGCTGGTCAATAGTTATAATTATTGGTTTTGCCACTTTGATGGGCGTGTTTGTTCTTTTTCTGTGTTTGGGAATCATTATGGCTATCTTGAAACATCTCATAAAAAAAATAAAGTTAATGACTATTTTTGTTTACTACAATTTTTGCTTATCGTATTCGACATGCATCTTGTTGTGTGCAAGATATACAATAAGATATGCAAAAAGAAAATATATACATATATATTTTAAAAGAACTAACAAGGACCTTCAAATTTAAAATAAAATAAAAAAAGAACTAACCAGTTAGTGAATGAATGAATGCTTGTGTATCATAAGATTGTTATGGACCTGTGTCAGATTTACACACTTTTTTTTCAGTCAGACACAAGGGAAAACCATCATTTCCAAGCGTGTCACAATCTTCCATTTTAGTGTAGTGTATTCCACACACCAATACTAATTCAGAGGGAAAATATGGCAATCATAGTAGAACACTTCCAACTCCCTACATTGTAAATTCGAGCACTTTTGTAAAAATGACTTAATACAAAAATTTTATCGGTAAAATAACTTTTTAAAACTTTTTATTTATAAAATGACTATGAAACGGAAAAAAAAAAAAAAAAAAAAATGATTGTCTTTTATAAACGGTCGTTCTTTACAAGATTAAATAAGGTCATTTTGTCAATTTTACTTTGTTAAATAGTCACTAGCAAATTTTTCTGTAAAGTCCAATTTGTCCTTTTGCTGATTTCGATTATATCGCTGATTTCATAGGATATACATATATATATATATATATATATATATATATATAACTAGCTTGCACATGGTCTACGTACCACGTTGAAGCAAATTTGTTATATCATTATATATTTTTTTTAGTTTTTATCTTTTCTGATCATCATGTAGGATCAAACCGTTGATTACTGCAATATGTTGTTTGAAGTTTTCTGCATTACTGATAAAATGGCAGTGCCACATTTTTCAGTTATTAAACCAGCGTATAATTATACAATTTAATTTACAGATCCATTTTTGTTCCATCCAGCTACAGTGCGTATATTAGGGTATACGCTGGTGCAACCTATAAGTTACTGGCTTTTAACAAGTTGGTTTTTTTAAAGGTTTATAACTAATTTTCATTTAAATTTTCTCTTAAAATATATATATATAGTACTACATGTATATATATATATATATGCCTTTTAAATAAGAAGAAATTTGGGAGTTCGAGTTTAATTTCATGACTTCTATCGCAAGCATGGGTTAAGGTAATATTTATTTCTCTTTTCTGTTTCTAAAGGAATATTCAAGACGTAATGGCTTAATCATTTAGATATATTTGTTAAGTTTTTTTTTTTCTTAAATAAAGTTCTTTTATTCATTAAGTGCGAGTATAGTATACTAGAAGGTTTTTTTTTTAAATAATAATAATAATAATAATAGAGGGAAAAAAAAAGCTACTGATTCCAGAATGCTACTGAAAAGGAAACACTTTCTAGTAATTTCTAGTTCCTATTCAACAAAAGGATTGCTAGTCAAAACTGTATGCATGCAATGGATCCTTATCGTCAGCTTTAACTGCCTTCCTAAATATTGAGGACAATACTCTCGGTTAAATAAGAATTCTGGAATCATTTGCACTGCAACAAAAAGGAAAAAAAAAAAAATAGAGAAATTACAGATGCTTATAGAATACTTATGATTTATCCAAAAAGAAGAAAACAACAACACAAAAGACAATGTGCTTATAGGCGAGAAAAAAAAAATAAAAAAAAAAGTGCATATACACACATTAAAGCAAAGTCAAATGTATACACACAAAAGACAATGTGCTTAAGTATGGTTGTCTTAAAAATAACAAACTAAAAGAAATTATTATTATCTGTTTTGTCATATGTTAGGGACATGGTCGCGTAAGTTGAGGATTGATTGGTTGGACTTGGGCGACCAAAGATATCATGTGGCGGTTCAAGAAAAAAGTCAAATGTGATAAAAAAAATTAAAAAAAATTTAAAAAAAAAACTATAAGATTGCTAAGTAACGGTCTGAATGGCAGATTTGAAGAATATTTTAATTAAAGATAGGAGTAGTGGCACATGACATGAAACCCAGTCTTACACCATTGTAGCCAAAAAAAAAAAAAAAGTGCATTGTTGAGTACTATTTGACAAAGGTAGTTTTTGAGGTTTGAGAAAGAAAAAGTTTGAGGATTATGTTAGTAAGTAGTTCAGAAGCATGAAAAGGAGAAATAAGAAATTGGTAGTTAAAAAATTCCTAAGACCATTATATGACTTTTGTACGAATTGAAATCTAATTTGAGATAGTTGATTTGAATTTTTAATTTGAGTTGAGATGTGATTTTATATGAAAGTTTTTTACTGTAATAAAATAAATTATATGTGATTTTTTATGAAAACTTTTAACTGTAATAAAATTAAAATTAAAAACTCGAATTATTGAAATTAATAAGACTTTAATTTCATGAATTTAGAATCATAATTCAGAAATATTCTTAATTTATGTGTATTTTTTATTAAAAAAAATACTATAACAAATTACAAACTATAATTTAAATAAAAAAAATATTATAACAAATTACAAACTATAATTTAAATTATGGTACGAATTCACTAAATGCATATTTATGTTTTATCTATACACCAATATCTTTCGTTTTACTTTTCTTTTGGAGCCATGATTTCGTCATTTTTCTGTTGAAATCAAGAAGTTTTCTGTTTTCTCCGTTTATTGGCGGAGTTATTTTCTCTTTTTTTTAAGCTGCAAAGGGCAGGCGAAGTTTTCTCTCCCTCTCTCTCTCTGGCTGAGAAAGGTCAGATTGAAGTTTGTATCCATAGCTACGGGGGAAGAACCATAAATACAAAATATAAAAGATGGCCATAGGTCGGTTTGCTTTGAATTTTGTACTAGATAATAATACATATACGCATTTTGACAATCAACAATTCAATATGGTCCCCAATTAAATTATCAACAAATATGGTCCCCAGTTTTCGTTTCTTATAGTTTAGTACAAAACTTACTTTAATAACATTCTAAGATGTTCACTGTAATCGTTGATTCATGATTCAAAACTAAGGGTAATAATTCGTATCACGTGTCACGTATCGTATTTTGGTCGATTTTTTAAAAAATTTACAGTCAACTTAAATACAATATGTGGCACGAATTTTAAAAAAAAATCACAATACGAACACGATATGATTACTTTACAGGTTGACACGATGCGACGTAAAAATTATCCGTAACACAAAATTGACCCGTGAACCCGAAATTGACACAAAAATTATATACTTTTCTTTAGTTTTTTTACATATTAGAAATAATTTAAAATCCATAACACACTAAAATACAATAACATCCATCAAAATTAAGCAAATAATGTTATAAGATTTTGAGTATAACTATCATGATATCGCAAGTTCATAATAAAATCTAAAATATGTAATGAAAAATATATGGTTTTTAGTTTTTCACGAGTTTCGTGTCGTTTTCGGGTTAGGTGGGTCCAAGCCGAAATTGATCTGTGTTTTTTGGGTCGACACAATTCTAACCTGAACATCTTTTTTCTCAACCCTAACCCGCGAAATTCGTGTCGTTTTCGCATCGTGTTGTCGTGTAATGGCCCATATTGTCGGCCAAATTCAAAACCACCTTTTTGGATTATTCTCACTGGTGCGCTTGAACTTTGAGGTCATTTCTAGTTTGCTCTCTGAACTTTAAAAACTCAAACCTTGCATTCTAAACTTTGAATTGTTCTCACTTAACCTCTTTTATTGTAATTTCTGTTAAAATCTGACGAAAAAAGAGAGAATTAAGTGTGGTCATGTGATTTTTATCTTTTATTTTAATAGAAAGACCACATGATTGCGTTATTCTTTTTTTTCTATTTGGATTTAACAAAAATTGTAACAGAATGAGTTAAGTGGAAATAATTTAAAGTTCAGAGTCCAAATTTTAAAAGATAAAATGAAAGTTTTTAAAGTTTAAAAGGAAAATTGAAAATAATTTTAAAGTTTAAGGGCCATAGTAATAATAATTCTTTTTTTTTTTTTTACTTTTTATATTGCTTCATTTTCTCACCTTTTATTAAAAAATAAAAAACAAACAAATCAAAATGCCTCTTCTATTTGTCATCGCACATCCATCTGTAGCCCAATCCATGGTAGTGGGCATGTACTCATGTAAACTGTTGGAAAAATACTGACATACTGGTCCGCGAAACACATGAAAAAGTACAGCTTCAGCAAATCAAATTCCCACATTTTTTTTTTAATTGACATGGATCCAGTCAGACCAAGAAAGAATGACTTTAAAAGAATATATTGATAGTAATATCCGCACACTTTGTTGCTACAATAAATATAAACCTCTTCACTTGGCCACAGACAATATTAGGCAATTGACATCAATATTTGGATCCACCAAATTGTAAGAATCCATGTTTGGATCCACCAAATTGTCCGGTTGATTTTAATCAAGTTCTGAGTCATGTGGATCTTGATTCGGAATCAACTTCCCCTTGATTCAGCCCAACTGCAATTAAGCTTACAGTACAGAAACAATGGAGTAGTTGTGTGGGTGATGACAGCTGGAAAGCTGAAAAGCGTACGACCTTTTTTTTCCCCTTGTTTATATATATTTCTCATTGTTACGCTCATGTGTTTGTAGGATTTATTTTTAAAATATATATATATAATTAATCATTTTTATTTTAATATGACACGTTAAAATTAAAAAAATTATAGTTAGCTTATTATAATTTTGAGTTATAATTATTTGTATAATTTTTTTTAGTCCTTCATTTTTTTAATTATATCACGAATTATATTTATTATATAATTTTTTAAATTACATTTATTTTGGTCATGATTCAAATTCAAAAAAGAAGACAATCAAACACTGGTTCGAATCACATTCAAGTTAGAATCAGAATCATGCATATACACATCCAAACGAAAGTTCTAATCACTCTGAATCATAATTCAAATCATAAAATCGTGATTCTGAATCAAATGACTCAAATCACTTTAATTTCAATCCTTATACCAAACGGACCCTTAGACACTGTAAGCAACTTTTCACTGGAAATGGTCCAATGGGAAAGGGTGAATAAATGCTGAATTCAGTTGCCAAATCTTGAGGGTGGCCTTAACAGTCGCTCCGGTGGCATTGTTGAACAAAAATAGGCGGGCTGCGCCGTAAATGGCTTTCGTCGGATAAATCCGTGACGTTATAACTCTCCTTCCTCCTTGAGCAAAACTTTCCACAATTGAATGATCAACCTGATTCCATATCAACATTTTAGTTTGAAAAGTTGGAGTTACACAATTTATGCTTTTTATTGGAATTGTCTAGTAAAAACTTAGGCTGTGTTTGGAATTGATCCTGTTTTTATTTTTCGCATTTTTTTAGAAAGAAAAAATGAAAACGTTTCTAAAACGGCGTTTGGCGTAATAAAGACAAAAAATAAAAATGAAAACGATTTTTTAATTTAGAGTAAAATAAGAGGGAAATGAAAAATAACTTTTAGTCATTTTTTATTTTCATTTTCATTTTTTCTTCTCTCGAAGAGAGAGAGACATTAATGAGTTTTTTTACACTGAAAATAATCTCTTAGTAAAACCTTCAATCATATTTTTAAAAATGATTTCTGTTTAAGATTGAAAACGTTTTTATTTTCGTACAAAAAATAAAAACATCTTAGAACGAGTTCTAAACACGTTCTTAGTGTTGAGGTTTTACGGTGATTATTTTTCACTTACCAATACTCTCATAGAGAGTTTTTCACCGTCCAGCACAGGAACTGGGCTTCCATAAACTAGTTTAAAAACATCAGTAGCCTTGGATGACCTGCATTAGCATAACGACATCAAATGACATCACATTTAGTTTCAAGATAAACCAAAGTAAACATCAAATTAAAAGTGAAATTTGTTTTGAAAAAAAGAAAAAGAATGGTAATGAAATGAGACAACGTAACGAACCTTGTTTCATCTGCGCAGAAATAAGTCTTTGCATTACCATGTGAATTGGAAGGGCGAAAGTAGATTGGGGTCAGCTCTGAGAGTTCGTCGTCCGCGAGAACTAGAATACCAAATGGTCCGAGTTTGTTCCTGTCTACGGCACCATCACCGCAACCGGAGATATCATTGCCGGTCTCCTTTGATTCCGACGATTCTACTTCGAAATCGACAAATATGTCCAACTGCCAAACAATTTAAGTAAAAAAAAAATCCATATTAAGTAGGAATTAAATTATGAATTATGAATATATGATATTGTAGTGGAATTAATTAGCTAAATATTATAGACACAACCTGTGTGGCTGTTCCAACATCTAGTGGCACAACTGTTCCGGGTTCAACCACGACTTCAGTGAAATTGTTACTGCTTAATCTCAAGCTCTCAATCTCTTCCACTGGCCATTGAAGTATGTTTGTTCCAGTCTTATTGTCAAACAACACAGTTCTTGGGATTGTCTGCACCATGTAACAATAAATTATCTGGCTAATTATTAAGGACACAAAATAAAACTTCCAAATTACCGGAAGTATATAACCAAGTGAATCATATGAGATTTGCATTTACTTGTTTATTATTCCGTCACGTATATATACAAATACCAAGTGATGTTTTAGAAACATAATGTATGAGAACTGTGAAGTATGAAAAGGTGATATAACTTTAAGCCCTCAGATTTTAATCTACTTATATTATTATTATTATTATTAGAGAGCGACACGATAAAAAAAATGAATTACCAATTTTCTATTTTAACCATCAGATATATCTCAGAGAAATTATATGTTCTGCATACTTTTTGAATTTGATGTGATTTTGATATGATTCAAAAGTTAGAAATTGATTACGAGAAAAACTCCGTTCTTAATTCTTGTCTACCGTTTAAGTAATTTGTTAAGCAATTATATATACCTGAACGGAGGACCATCCTTTTGCTAGATCAGCATCCTCAGTGTCAGTTTCATTAATCCAACCCCAAAGAATTCTCCTTTCCTTGTTTTGGTCATAAAACGTCTTAGATGCATAATACCTTCCATAATCCAGCTTCAACCCGATTCCCACGTCCTCTTTCGGGTTATCGGGTACCCACGTATCATTCCTCGCAAAATAGGTCCCAATTGCATAGTGATCAACTTTTGTATCATCCAAACTAGCCTTCAACACGTGCTTAACCCCAACACCATTCACAGAGGTGTCTAGACCATTTGACCCGTTTATAGCAACCGGGTAAAAGTCCACACACTCCCACATGCCCGTATCTGGGACCTCATGCAAGTAATGATCCAAGAGCTCATATGTAATAAAGTCATCAGTTCTGTACACAAGTGAAATTCCAGTTTTATTTACCTTTGACCCGAGTGTGACCCGCCATTTCGCATCAGGCCCGATCCATGCAGTGGTCGGGTCACGAAAGTCCTTATACCCAATGCCGGGTGGTGGGACCAAAACCGGGTTTCCATCATATTTGACCCAATTGAGGAGGAGGGGATCAGATAGGTTCGCGGGGTACGCGAGATTTTGGACTTGCACAGATTCATCGGTGGATCCTGTATACAACATTATGATTTTTCCATCGGGGAGAATCGTGGCGGCACCGCTCCAGGCCCCATTGATGTCATACCAATGGTCAGGGACCATGGCAATCGGAAGGTGGAGCCAATGGATTAAGTCCGACGACACCGCGTGGCCCCATGTTATGTTGCCCCAAATAGCCGAATCCGGGTTATATTGGTAGAATAAGTGGTACCAGCCTTTATGAAATAGTGGACCTATAACCATGCAAATTTTTTGCCCATGAAAAAACGTTTATTTCGTCAAAATAGAGTAAAAGAAAAAAAAAAGTCAGTCAAAACTTTAAAAGAGAAACGTTGAATATCACCATGTCAAATATGTGGTTCGTGTTAGAACATAATCATATTAGGAATCTCATGTTATCATGAAAACTGGTAACGAAAACGCTACTTGCATGACATCACGAGGAAAGTGATTACAAAACGTGTTACGTAAATGCAAGCGTTAATAATTGCGTGGGCTAACAATGCTCTATTATTAATACGAAATAATTTTTCTTTCTTTTTTTTTTTTTTGTGAGAAATTCTTGACTACAATACTCAAAAGAAATAAATAAATAAAAAATCACATGAAAGAAGAGCTCAATCCACTTAATTCAACCTTGTTTTATTTTGGGTTGGTGGAAGAAGATGAGGGTGGTAGATGGCACTTGGCAGCATGGCACGTGGAAGTGGTCACGTGCCAATGCTTGCTTGGAAGGTAGCTCGTAGATTCTGGACAAATAAGTGTTACTGTGTAAATGAGACGATGGGACCCACCGCACTTTTAGGATCAGAAGTCTTGATTCTGATTGGTTATAAATGTGGGTTCCACAAGGCCCATGTTTTTATTGGACACTAGTTGCCTGGACAGACACTATGATTTGGCTCCTTCCTACTTACTATCACGCTAGAACTCTCTTGATTGGCATGAAACTCTTAAAGCAATAATTTGAACGGTTTGTTAATTTGAATTTTTAATTTGAGTTGAGATGTGATGTTGTGTGAGAGTTTTTTATTGTAATAAAAAAGTTAAATGTGACTGTTTCTGAGAGCTTTTTACTATAATAAAATTCAAATTCTAAACTCAAATCAGCGAAAAAAAGATGACCTATATCTATTTATCTTTTCAAAGAAAAAAGAGTTTTCCTGAAAAATATTTTATGAGTTTTTTTTATAAACGACAAAATCTACGGAGAAAATCCAAATTTTAACTGTCAGAATTTTGTTACATTTTATTAAATTGTCACGGTTAAAAACTATGTTGTATTGGTATGTTTTTTCTTCCCCAACCTATTAGTTCTCTGAACATTTAGATCGTATTATTATATAATAGATTAACTGAAGAATCTAGTAGTTCAAAATTTAACCGAGATAGGTTTTTATATTATAGTTTAGAGTTCTTCTAATATATTAGTTAGTACATTTTAAAGACACACTTGATGTTAATGCATATTTCTAATACTAGATCGTTTCAAAGTTTTAAAATATATAATATAAATATATAATATAAATATATTCGTCAAATTTTAAATACGTTGATCTGTAAAAAAACAATATATTTGTTTGTAGCATGCTGCATAAATCCTAATTTCCTATAATATATTTTCCTTTGTAATTCCACTATTTATATTATCCTCTGCATTATTGCACTGTACCAGACAACTCTTAAAAATATGATGATAACAAAATTATAGCATCATACAAATAATTAAAAATATAAACATTATGGACCGTGCAAATCAGCAAGATGGATCATGGTCTGATTCGGAATGTCTTAACTCTTATCCTATCCATCAAATTATTTGCAATATCCAACATCATGTAGGGAAGGCTTTGCCTTGAAAACATGTCCAAAGTAAAAATTAAAAGATTTTTTTCTTTCTTTCCCAATATACAAGTAACATTGTATATAGATTCTAATAGATGACTTTTATAAAGAAAGAAAATCAAAATTTGACTTTTAATGAAGAAAAAAAAAATCAATTACAACACGGCAATGGCAGTGGATAAATTTTTCTTAAGATGCAACTACAGCGAACTTGCTAATAAACGAATAAACAAAGATGCGATTAAGTTTAAGAAAAGACAATGACGGTTTTAAGTTTAAGTGATATGACTAATAAGTTTTAATAAGGGAACAAAACGAAGATGCAATTTTGAATTGACTTACCATTAGGATCTGAAGCAGAACCCAGCCAGATGAATATGATCGATTCCACCATGGCCCACCAAAACAAGATTATTGAAAAATGATGAAAAAAAATTCAAAGATATTATTTACAATGAGAAAGAAAATAAAAAACAATTATTGAATTATAAAAAAAAAAAAGTAAAAAGTGAAATACGGGATTAATTAATTGAAACTACCTACCATTCATCCAATTTTTCTGGGGTTGAAAATGGAAAGCAGTTCTTTGCCAAGAAAACATGGCGTTTGTCCAGTTGTACGACAGTTTATCGGAAAAAAAATACGGGTTTGATTTGGCTGAAACGCCTTCAGCCACGCCTCTTGGCTCTGAAAACGACTTGCGTTTTGTATCTTCTGGTACCGCTGCTGTTTCCGAGGGTTGTTGTTGGCTATGTATTTGGTTGGGACTGATTAATGCGACCAACGAGATGAGAAAAACGACAAAGCAAATAGTCGCGGCGAAACCCTTCAAGGGTCGCCGGCCGCGAGGTCCGGCGACGGTGGGGGACTGGTCCGGCAAGGGAGTGTAGTACTCGTCGCCGTGTGCTTCTTCAATGTCATCGTGGCTTGTTGTGTGGGAATTGGGATTGGTTTCCATGTTGTGTGTTGATTGGTCTTTGGAAATGGTGGTGGTGAGAAAATGAAATATTGGATCTTAAATAGAGAGAGAGAGAGAGATGGTGAATGAATGAACTATGACGAACCCATTTTTCTTTAGACTTGTCTCGACGTTTTGGACATGATTGAAAATATTAATTATCGAGGTTTGCATGACGGTGAGGATTAATGTTTACTTTCTCAAAATTAGCTTCCGAGAGAAAGAGTCGAGTAATGGATTATGTGGGGCACAATCTAAAGTTTCAGGACAAGTAAACTGGGTCAAAGTAACAGTACTTAGGTTTCAAATCTTGTGCTTGGTAGTTGGTTTGCAGCGCAAGATCAAATTAATAAAGGGCCGTTTAGTTCACTGATTCGAGTTGAGATGTGATTTTACGTGAGAATTTTTTACTGTAGCAAAAAAGTTAAATGTAATTATTTGTTAGAGTTTTTTACTGTAGCAAAATTCAAATTTTAAACTCGAATCAGTGAAATGAACGGGGCCTAAATAAACAGTCTTTTCTGTGGTGCAAATCTTGTCCTGGCTAACAAGTAACAAGCATTGCCTACTAAACTGTCAGTTAAATACAGTATTAATTGAGCACTTTACACTTGTTTGTGCCGGAGTGGGATGACATGGAAATTTATAAATATAACATGCACCTCAATTTCAAACTGCTAGATATGAAAAGAAATTATTTCAGTTTAGATTTTTTTTTATTTTTTAATATATATTTGGCTTTCAACAGCTTAAATCGTTTCTTTTCGTTATTTCATCAGTTGTCATTTTTTAATCTCATTATAATCTAATTAATCTAGCGAATAACAGTTATACTTATTTCATCTGACAGTTAAAACTTATGGAGTATTTTTTTTTTTTTTCACGACCACCGTATATATAGTATTATTCTTTTAATGTATACCATATGGTTTCTTTTCTTTATTTAATCACGTGACAAAACTCAACATAATTGGGGAAAAAGTTATTGGAGGGTCCACCTAGAAGACGTGGCTGTATGAGCATCACATAGGGTTTTGGATGGGTCATGAACTCGGGTGGTTGTACATTTATAAACTATACGAAGAAAAATAATATCTATTTTTTGAGCATCATACGAAGAATAATAGATGAAAAAAATCAAAGACAGTTACTTTTTTTTTCTTTAATAGTAACTAGATATAAACTAGCCATGTACTCTGTAAATATATATATATATATATATGTATATATAAATACGTGATGGAAGTACTGGAAATAAGCACCTAATGGAGTGAATTTATGGCAGCTAAATTAGAGGTTTGAGAGGTCGTTAAAATTGTGTTGGCGTCTTGTTCCTAGAGGATTAACGTAATTGAGTCATGAGTACTTTAAGCCACTACTGAAAACAAAAACAAAAAAGTCTTGCACGATTAGGGTCGGTAATATGGGTCACGATATGACTTAAAAATGACACAAATTTTACGGGTTAAGGTTGAAAAAAAAGAGGTTCGGGTCAGAATTAGGTTGACCTGAAATTGACACAAAAAATATGGATTAATTTCGAGTTGAATCTGTCTAACCCAAACACGACACGAAACTTGTAAAAAATTAAAAAATACATATATTTTTTATTACATATTTTTTTTATTTACATTACATCTTATACTATTATTTGCTTAATTTTATTAGATGTTATTGTATTTTAATGTGTTATAGATTTTAAATTATTTCTAATATGTAAAAAACTAAATAAAAGTATATAATTTTTTTTGTCAATTTTAAATTCATATGTTAATTTCGTGTCATGAGTTATTTTCGTATTGTGTCGTATCAATTCATAAAATAATCATATAGTGTTTGTGTTATGATTTTTAAAAAAAATTTGTGTCACAAATCATATTCAAATTAACTATAAATTTAAACAATAATTAAAACAAGACACAAATAGAATACGTGAGACAAATTACTATTTCTCCTCGATGATGAGTTGTCTTGATATGACGATTCTGGAATAGGGTTACAATCATTATATCATGTGGGTCCCTTGTGATAGTACAGTTTTTGGTTTCCTCTTCTCGCAATTGGGGATTTGCTTTCCAAGCAAAAAATAAAAATTGGGGATTTGCTGAAGCAATGCGAACTTTTGGTACACTATCTGTTTTGAGCGATCGAATCAAATGGTTGAGGATGGACGAGTTGCACAAAAGCCGCATGCACACTACTGTAGAAGGTAAAATATAGTTCAACCGTATAGGTATGTTTTCCAATTTTTTATCCAATCTGATTAAATAATAGGAAATTTTATAAATACCCTACATTTTCACCTTTTAAATTAGAACTAATTAAAGGATAAATTTTTTTAAAATAGATATTTTTAGTGAGTCAAGTATTTAAGTAGATAGAATATGTAATTTTCTCTTATAATAATTAATTAATTTAATTTTCATAAAAAATAATTAAAAAAACTTACCAATCCAGTCAATCATTTTTTTTACGTTTTATATATGTTTTCTTAAAAAGGATAATTAAAATGAAAAATAAATCTTTCACCATATAAAAAAAGTTACAAGATACCAAATAATATTTTCTTAAAGAATACACTAATGAGATCCGATAAGGTAGTCCCGTCCCTTACATAAAAGTAGGCCCCAACTGTGAGTCTCATGTAAGACCCACCTCACTTTATTTGAGGAACAAAGCTACTACCCTATCGAGCCATTTTTCTTTAAGAAAATTGTTGAACCTACTCTTAAAGTGTATTGAGTCTTACACTTTATTAATACTTTTTTTTATTGATATAAATATTTGACTAAAAATTAATGGCCAATGTGTGGGCCAAACATAAAAAATGTAAAGGATTATTTGTCTCTTTTTCCTTTTTTTTTTTTTTTTTTTTTTTTTTTTTTTTTTTTTTTGCTTTCTTCAATTACAAAGAACGAATTTAATGTTATTAGTACAACAAGATATCTTCTTCATAATACAAAATTATGATATTTTGTTAAAAAATGATGGTTTTATTTACACATTCTATTTTACTTTCCACACTCTCTTTAAAATTAAAATTTTTTATTAGGAAAACTCTCGCACAAAATGATAAAAGAAGACCATTATAATAGATTTAATTAAGTAATTAAATCCATTGTTGTTGTTTAATTATCATTATTATTGGGCGGAGTTTTCAAAGGGAATAAAAATGCAACAAGAGTCAAATTCGAGACTAACCTCCTGAGCACGTGTTCAAGTAACTCGAGCAGGTTAGATGGCAATGGAGCGGGATAGGCACGCCTGTCCCCTTCTTCGTCCCCATTCCCCGTTTAATGAGGGGCGGGATCGGAGTCGGGAATTCACTATTGGAGAAATATTTTCCATGTCCGTTTAATTTCCTATCATATAGAATTATGTATTTAAAAATTATAGCAATTTAAAATAAAAATAGAATATAAATTCATTATAAATTTAAACTAAAATTAAAGGTTTTATAAAAAAAAAAAAAAACTAAATTTTTAACATATTGTAAATTAAATCCAAAATAATAACTAATTTTTAAGTGAAAAAGTTTAAAAACATAAAAACATAAATGCAAATTAAATCCTTCATTGTCTTTTTCTAATAGCTTCAATCTTCATTGTATGATTCCACGCTATTTATTCTTAAGAATCATAGTTTAAAAAACTTAAAATTTTAAGAGATTATGTGTATATATATAAAATTACATAGAAAACACCAACACATTAATATCAAAGCGGAGCCACCTCGCCACAAATTGGGGACTAGAATTTATCCCCATCCCCACTAATTGTTCCTCATTCCCGTACTGTTTGGGGCGGATCCCCGCCCTCGTGGGAAATATTTCTATCCCTATGAGCAAGAACTAGGACAACCTCCCAAGCATGTGCTGAGGCAAAGGATGGAAGATCAAGGGTTTCTAAGCATCGTCATTAAGAAACAACCAACAATTAGAGGCATTTAATGATTGTGGATTAGGTCATATTTATTATTTGATCAATTATAACACCTAAGAGATGGAAGATTTACTATAAATTCTTTAAATTTGAGATAAAATATTACACTATTTTTTTTCGAAATACAATTTTTGTTCAATATAAGAGTTTTGAGATTATGATATTTTGTAAGGTTGTTTTTATTCTTTGAGTGTTCATTCAACTTTTATAGATTATCTGTTTATTTAACCTGAATTGTTAGTCTATAATAATAATAATAATAATAATTAATATTATTACTATTATATTAATAGTCATTATTATTATTTTCCAAATAACTCACCTTCAAAGTCCTGCACTAAGCGCAATCCTACGTGCACGAGCACGACCTAACGTTCCAAGTCTCTATTTTGAATCGCCACTTTGTTGTAGAACATGAAAGGAAAGTTTTGGTGCAATCGGATATTAGGATTTACCAATTAGATCATCTCGCTGTTAAAAAAAAAGGGCATCTCGCTGTTATTCGTTTTTTATATACATACGTACACACACACACACACACATATATATATATATATATATATATATATTGGCTGCTTGAATAGACACCCTTCTTTTGGTTTACTATGTTAACGTCGCTTTAAAGCACGTATTTACGAATACCTATTTTAATTATATATCATAATAATTCTTTTAAAATACTTGATCATGATAATGCATTTACTGATTTACACGCTTCCTAAAACAAAAAGAGAATGTCTTACCTATTTTATTTTGTATGGCTTTGTTTTCTTGCAATGTCACATTAACAGTATCTCCAACCATCTTAGCCAGTAACAGAGTCAGGATTTATTGATGGGAGGTTAATTTTTTTTTTATCAAGATTATACTAATATTTATAAACTTAATAAAATTAAATATTTTATTTTTTTAAATCTAAATAGTTATCCCAATAAAATGTAGAGAACTATTAATTTAAGAATGAGTTCATATGCTATATTTTTCAGTCCCCTTTTGTGTTCCCCAATAATAACACGTCACGTCATGGCTTTTTAATTAATGCAATAAGAATCTTTTAATTTACGTGACATTTCAATTGATGTGTCACAATATTATTGGTGGGACAAAGAGAGTTGTTCCATTAATTTATAGAGGACCAAGTCTAATTTATACATATATCTATTATAATAAAATTAAAACTACTATATTAAAAAAAAAAAAGCTAAAGGAGGCCATGGCCCCCCTCTGAACCCTAGCTCCGTCATTGATCTTAGCCTTCTCATGTTTTTAACTAAAATTATTAATGATTTAACGTTTTTTAACTTTTTTTTTTTTTTTTACTTTAACTATTAGCTATATGGTTAACTATTTTTGAGAACCACTCATCAAGAAAGACTAACTATTTTATTTATCCTATTATTTTATTATTTCAAACAGTAATAATATAAGAGTTCCTTTTTAAATTACATGTTTTTAACTAAAATTATTAATGATTTAACTTTTTTTAGCTTTTTTTTTTATTTTAATTATTAGCTAAATGGTTAACTATTTTGGAGAATGTGTTTCACACTCGCCAAATATTTGGTAGAGGGATTCGTTTTCTGATTCGAATCATGATTCATGGTTCGCTACAGTATTTTCTCTCACAAAAAATTCACGTAAATTGAAAATGGTTCAAATCACATGGTTTGAATCCTCCAACCAAACGTCTTCGCCTATTATTTTATTATTTCAAACAATAATAATACAAGAGTTCCTTTTAAAATTAAATAAAATTATTTACATTTTAAATTTAATAAATATTAAAATATTATATGCTTAGCTAAAATAAGAAATATAATTGAAACGATTCACCTAAAAATTATTAGCCAAAAAAGCTTTCTAACTAATATAATTAAAATTTAGCTAAAATTTGAAGAGTTTTTTTTGGAGATGCTCTAAGAACTTAGAGCATATTTACTTTGCATCAAAGCATAAAAAGGAAAGGAAAAGTTAGGAGTGATTTCATTTTCCATATAATAATGTGTTTACTTATAAAATTAATAATAAACATCTAGTGGACCCTACACATTATAGGGAATGAGAAAAGTAAATGTCAATTATTGCATCATCATAGTATTAATTTTCTCTTAAAATGAATGAATGTTAAATTTACTTATATACCCTTAATGAATATAATGAATAATGAATTATCTATTGAACCGCGTATATCACATCATAATACATTAATACTTATTTGATACACCCGTATAATTATATTTTTGTTTTTAAAATATATTTCCGTGCATTTTAATTTATATGGTAAAGTTAAACGAAGGTTGATTTTTTTTTTTTTTTGTTGCTGCACTGTATGGTGAATACTGCTTGTCATGGGCAGCAACTTATGTTTTTCCAGACTATATTTATCAGGCTATTGAGTGCCTTTGTAAACAGTAAGAAAATATTTCGCAACGCCAATTCACCTTATGTGGACTATTGTGTTTGTGTGTGTATTTATAGACATATATATTGAAGAATTTGGTCAGTATTTGTGCTTAATTTTGACGCAACCAATGATGATATTTCACATTCTTGTAAAAATTTGATTCAATTGGCATCTTTTATGGCCATACATTGTGAGATTAAATTAAATAGATTTACATTTTGAGATTCTTGTCTAAATTTTATAATAATCAATTTACTTCAAACAAATGAGTTATATAAATATATATTTATATATATATAGAGGTGTAAATTTGGGCCGTTTGGTTTGGTCCGGTCCTAAAAGAGAGAGAGTCAGTTCAACCCGGCTCTAAGCTAAAAAAGTTTAAGGCTGGCCCAGTCCGACTAGAAATTTTATAAGGTATTTAAAATTTTTTTAAAAAAATATGATTTTTGGGCCGGACCGGCTTAGCCTTAAAAGGAGAAGGGTCGGCCTAACCCAGCCCTAAACTTAAAAAATTTAGGGTCATGCCGGGTCAGGGCTAAGGGTCTCGGGCCGGCCCGTTTAGCCCGATCTAAACTTGTAGTTATATATATATTTCTTTCCTATTTGAATTGGTTTTTTTTTTTAATGGATTGATTTTATTCTTTATGTGTTCAAGGATATAGTCCGCAAAACATATGCCTGTGACAAGAACTCAAGCAATGATTCAATATTGAATTCACAGAAGAGAAATAATAAGCGTCATTTAAAATGACCAAATAGATTTAATGTATAAATTAATATTCTAAAAAAATCATTTAACCAATCAATATAAGGAATCCAAGTAGAATAATTATTGTTATTTAGACTCAGTAATTAATGCATTATATAGTAAGAAAGAGAAACTAATTATAAGAAGTTGACACATTATTATTAGACGAGTGTATCACGTAGACATTATAATGTGATAAATTTGGTCTATTGAATAATTTCTCTTAATGAATTACTATATAATCGATGATTATTTAATTGTATAGGACTTTTAGTAATTACATGTATAATATTATTGTTCTTAATATTAGTAAACACTAGAAAAAAAATAAAATTATTTTTCATTACACTATCTAATAATTAAATAAACACTTAAAAAGTAATCAATGATCTTCATTCTTATTACTTTATTTTAAATAAACACTTAAAAAGGAATCAATGATCTTCATTCTTATTACTTTATTTTTCTTTCCCGTCTTAGATCTTTTCATTATAGTCCTTTACGGTTTAGTAAACGCACTATTCCAACCCCAACTAACGGGTGGTGCGTAAAGGCAAAGCGCAGCCGCTGGTCTTGAATGGAAGCGAGAGTAACTACCATTCTTGGTCGTGCTTTCACCATTAATCATACTATACATGACTCATCTCGTGTCTGCGCCATCAATGCTCAGCTCATAACAATTTATTTATGATCGGTTCATGACACCAACTTATTATAATTTGAAAGGGATTATGTATTATAGTAGGATTTCCCTAGTGTGATCTACATGTGCGCCCGCGTGTGAATGTTTGTATTTATGGTGCGTTTTGTTCATGAATTAAAATCATGTGATTAGAACTATTTTTAATTTACGTGTATTTTTTATAAAAAAAATATTATAATAAATTATAAACTATGATTCGAATAGAAAATAAATGTATTTACCAAACATCACCTTAGTTTTGGATCGATCTTCCGTATTCTTTTATATAAGCTTCTTAAAGCCCTTGGTGATAATATAAAAAGAGAACCACTTGGTACTCGTGCTTCAGGCTTTTAGTGGCGTTTTCATAGTTTTGTCGTTCGTACATAATTGTTAGGCTTTTTTCACCGTTACCCCCCTTTAATTTTTTGTGATTAACAAATCGGTCCCTAATTTTTTTTTCTTAATAATTAACCCCTTAAACTTCAAAAATGTGTTGTATGAGTGGTCCTTTTAAATTATAAACGATTCTTCCCTGAGAAAACAAAAAATGGATCGTGCAAGCAGCTTCCCCACCCACAAAGATATCCATCAACTGCCGCCTTTACCTCCAAGCTCGCCGTCATAGTGTGCCCCTCCTTCGCTACGTCTCTGTGTCGCCGCGCCAGTCTTCCTCGCTAAATCTCTGCGCCGCCGCACCCTCCTCCGCCAGATCTCGGCCTCGCACTTCCTCCGCTAGATCTTGCCGCTGCAATGCCCCTCTTCCTCCGTGAGATCTGGCCAGCGCAAAGTCCTTCAAATTCGCAAGATCGCGGCCTCACCGGATCACCTTCTTTGCTAGATCTCTTGTCACCACGGTCAGCTTGCTCTTTGAAATTCTTTTCTTTTAGACTTTCTGGTTTTAGGTTGGGTCACGTGGGTTTGTGTTTCTCATACAACACTGATTTGTAAGTTTTTGTTTTAATTTTTCTTCTTAGTTATTTATGTATTTATTATTTCAGATTTTCTGGGTTTTGGCTTGTCTACGTGTCTGCAAGGAAAATAGTTTAGTCACTTGGGGAAGAAGATGATCATTTCAATGCGCGGTAGATGAAAACCTTTGACCAAATGCAAATAAATATGATATATTTGCAAAACATAAATGCAACTGAATGCCCATATGCTTTAACTAGAGACTGAAGAAAGGGATTTTGGATTGAATTTGAAGGAGAAACGACAATTTAATTGATTATCATATGTTTCCAATTTTACCCCTCGCTCGTGTGCCACAATTTCCGTTAATTATTTGACAGATTTATGAAAAGGACCATAAATACAACGAATTTTAAAATTTAAAGGATTAATTGTTTAAAAAAAAAGTTTAGGAACCAATTTACCAATCACAAAAGATTAAAGGGGTAACGGTGCTAAAAAACCACGTTTTATTTATTATGAACTGAACTCAATTTTTATGCTTTAAGTGATTGTTTCAAAGGTTTGCTCGCGTTTGCTCGCTCATATGTTAATTTTTAGCCCCATTAGTTTTTCTTTTTACTTTCTTATTTTGTTTGAACGGATTTTCTTTCTTTTTTAATTCAATGATCAGTTGCTCTCCGCATGTTTCTCTTTATTTCGTTTTTGTTCTTTGTTTTTGTTCTTTGTTTTTGTTTTTGTTTTTGTTTTTTTGTTTTTTGTCATTTTGTCATTGTTTTTGTTTTTTGTTTCAACTTTCGAGTCTATAGACACACAGTAATAAGGTGAAAATTCAGACATCATGAGGTAGCCTAAAACTGTTGTTTCACTTTAGTGCCAGGTACATTTTATCACCTCAATTGAAAGGCATAAGAATCCCACAAGTTGTTTAAATTGCTTTGGTCAATAAATTTCAAAGCCAAGGTTACTTTGATTCGAAATTGTTTTGTTTGAAATTTTGTCGGTTTAGCATATTTTTTTCATTTTAATGTGAACTTTACATTAAAAAAAAGGGGCACCGCAAATGCTTTACCTTCATTTCAAAATTTTGTAAAGTATAAAATCCAATCTGAAATTAAACGAAAATGAACAACTCGGAGAAAGATGCATGAAGGAAATAACCAACAGAAAATTTCTCAACAAATGAGCCCGAATAAAAAGAATAAACGAGTGAAAAATGTAATACATAAATTCATACAAAAGAAAACATTTGTAAAGTATATGCATGCGTCCATGCATGTACATAACAATGGGAAAAACATATCTTATCATATGAAAGAATTAACAAATGATTAGAACTCTAACTACACCAAACGGGATATAACCCAACCACAATTAAAGGGGAAAGTCGGAAAATAAATGAATGATTAATACATGGATTTATGGGGGAAAAGGAGCTATATATTGATGTCAAAAACAAAATAGAAGATAATTAAAGCTGAGACTTTACAATTAAGACCAAAAACTTAGAGCAGAACAACTAGGCACCGACATCTCCATGTTGAAGGAAAAAAAACGTCTTCTATGCAACTCTGCTCGCAAAGCCCATGGTATAATTTTTAGAAAAACAGGTAGGCTATCCTTATCATATACGTATAAGTCAAGAGTATTCTCTTCTTTATATGTTTAATATAGTATTTATAAGGAACTCGATTTCTTCCATATCACAAGTGACTTGAGAAACTCCATGACCTACATAGATGTAAAAAAGAGCAGAAAATACCAAAACAATCAGATGAAATTACACAGGAAAGGATTTGTTTGTTTCAAAAGAAAATTATGAAAACGAGCACAGCATGAAGGAGCGCCGGTATCATCACTAGGTTAGACGCTACGAAAATTTCAAAATACGCGAGAATTAATTCTCCAATGATTTATTATATTCATTTCCAAGAGAGAATCGTTTATGTGACATCAAAAAATATGAAGAAATCCAGGAGTCTAGAGTAAAGCCAATTTGTACCTCTGATGGATCCCTGAGAGAGTAATATGCACTGCTTTCCTTGGGCACAGAAGAAACTAGAATTCCATAACCACAGTTTCTCTCTTTTAAAACCTGTTACAAAGCACATCAAGTTAATTAAGTCTATAATTGGAAAACAAGTCATCAAGATTATTTACAACAGTAAAAGTAAGATTTTACCTTAAATGCATCTTCATCTGTGCGGTCATCTCCAACATAGATTGGGAGCACATCATCACAATTACTCAGCCCTGATTGAATATATAATTATTACACAGATAAAATGGATTCCAAAAACAAAATTGTTTGGAGAGTGGTATTTAGTATTTACTCAGTGATTCAAGTAAAAAGGCGACGGCCTTCCCCTTATCCCAGTTTATGACAGGTCGAACTTCTAAAACCTAAATATGTGGCAAGGCAAACACAATCAGAAAAATAAAAACCAACGAAGTGCGAGCGAGTACATTAGTGTAGAATTTTAAAAGGTTTAAAAGATTTTTGCATGATAGGTTTTTATATAATACCTTTCGCCCATGAGTCAATCGCAACCGTGGGTAGTCTTTAAGAATGTTGTGTACGCATTGCGCAACAAGATTCCAGTTCTGCCAATGAAAACAGTTTCCAGAAAAAAAGTGAATAAGGGGGACAAAAATAGAAGAAACAAAATGGTCCATGACCATAACTAGACAAATACTTGCATAAAAGAAAAATCATTAACTCTCTACTAGAATTTTTTTCTTACCTTCTCATCTACATTACGATAATGTACAGACACGCAGAACTTATTATTCTCGACCTTAGCTCCTTCAATACCCTTGGTACTTTCAACGAGAGATGTAAAAACCTATTCCGAATCTAAGATTAGTAGAGGCTACATTAAAGAAAATAAAACATTAAATTGCTTATCGAAAAGGAACTCTTGTCTTGTTCATAGTATGATGCACTAAAGCACATTAGTGGGGGCAAACAGGAAATTAACCAACCTCGTGAATCATTGGTAAAAATTCAGCTGCAGGCTGAAACAAATTAATGTCCTTACCCTGCATCGTACAATGAAAACAAAAATGAATAACTAAATGAAATTTGCAGACAACTAATTTGAAGAGAGATGTAAGATTGCAGCCATTACCTGCTTGTCAGTGGACTTAAAACAGTTTGGCTTGTCATCTGATATAGAAGGTTTAACAGGACACATAATGTCCATTCCATGACTACCAGCATAATATAGTTCTGTTAGACCTACAAACTCATATACCTGAACAAATAACACATAGGACATGCTTAGTGAAAACCCAAAACTAAAGAAAACAACAAAGATGGTTTAGTTGTAAGGAAAAAATAAGCGCACACTGAGGAGAAACTAGCCAAATGTTTACCTTGTCGCGACTTCTTCCACTAATTATTGCAGTTGGAAAATATTTTGCCACCTTTTGAACAGCAGCTCGCATCTGCAAGTGACCCAAAGTCTTGATGAACAAATGATGTAGAAACAGGGGGGCAAAAACAAATGCTCAAAATCTGAGAGAATTGCTTACAGCATCAGACATGAAAGCACAGTCGGGATTATCTACAATTGGTGAAAGAGTACCATCGTAATCAAGAAACAAAGCAATTCGCCTGCCCTTTGCATGATTTGTTATTTGCTCGAAAGATTTAAGTGCTGATGGGTACTTAACCTGCTAGATTGGAACCAAAAAATTAAGGACAACCGAATAGAAAACATATGCAAAAGATGAAAAAAAAAATCAATATTGAACACGAGATCAAATCATACAGACAGCAATAAATAATACCGTCCAGGTTCGGTAAGCCACATCAGGATCAGATGGTGCAAACTCATTGACATCCTTAATTATTTTCCTGTGAGGAGGCGATGAAGCTTTCATGGCATCCAGCCAAGAGCAAGCACGAACATCATCAAGGACTCCAGTCTTCTTCCTGGGGATTGTTAGGAGGAGACCTGGAGTAAAAGCTGCTCCTGAAGGCGAATATGGAAACAAACTTGAATGTACTCCAAGTCTTGTGTTGCTTAAGGGTGCAGGATCAGTGAGCACAGGAGCAGTATGATTCGACTTTAGGTCCATGGGATCCAGATTTGTTGCACAAATGATGACCTCAAACAAAGTTGATTTTGATAGGAGGATAATTTTAAACCAATGTCAGCAGTATATCAGCCGTGGAGATCTACTTCACCCAGCCCTTTTATCAATAAAAAACCACCTCTTTAATGTTTTCTTGTCACTGCTACTCGGCTTACAGTCCATCAAGCACAAGATTCCTGAAAACTAGTGATCATAACATGATTAAGTGAAGAACCATAACATTCAATTCAGCATAGGAATATATGAACAAAGCAGAAATTCTTACAGGTTATAGCTCTTCATCTCGCTAGCAACCATGCAAATAACTATTATCTGCGAGAATAAGTAAAAGAAGAAAAGTTTCAATATGATATCCTGGAGGTAAAATTCAAGTCTTTTATAAAGAACAGAAAGCATTAATGTCAGAGCGAACCCATTGATACGTCATAACAAGTTGATTCAAATGAGAGAAAAGAGAAGTAGTCAAAGTGGAAAAATCAAACCAGGATAATCATAAACACAATTATGTCTAGTAAATTTCAGAAGCAACTAAAACGGACAAAGGTGTCGCTATAATTATAATCAGAACCCTCTAATACAAATTTCAAAAATGTTAATATCCAAATAAAAACATGCAAGCAATCTAAATCCAACCTTGAAAAAAAAATTTCATAACCGTCTTAATAGATGGATAAGTGTAAATGTATTAATCAAATGAGCGTCAATTTGGCAACGACACTGCAAAAACTGCCCATGCAGAAAAATAACATATTCCATTTTTATGTGACCTCTCTCAGATCCTACCTTTTATTGCCTGGTGATCTCAGGGACAAAATTGACAGAAAAATGACTAATGCCCTTTAATTTTCTGAATAATTGAAACATGAAAATACAACAAGGAGATACAAAGTGGCTTCTAAATTTTGTCTTAGACATAAAGCTCAAGATTGGCCATTTCAGCTAATGATTTTTCACTAAAAAGTTAGGGAACCAGTGTTGAGTTCGTTCTGCAATCTCTCCGTATATAATAAAAACTATATGTTGAGGTAGTCCACTTTCCTAAAAGTAAAAATCAAAACAAAAAAGCTTTCGTGCTTATAGAGAGAGGGAAATTACAACAATAATTCTCGTGCTCGCTGCTGAGAGCATTTACAAAAGAGATGCGGGCATAGTAAAGAAGCGAACAACGAGTAAAAGTTGAGCAAATTTGTGTACGGCTTGCAAAACACCAAGCGAAATCAAGGCTCAAATTAAGGAGTCTCCAGGTTACTCAACTATATGCAAAGGCGATAAATTGGTGTGAGATACCCCGCTTACTAATGATACGAAAAACAAGTACAGAGATCTTATTACGATATGCTTTAGCAAGCTTATGTTCACATCAACACGTCGCAGACGAACTTATCAAACACAAAGCAGTACACCAGTAATATCAAATAACATAACAACAGAAGAGGTCTCAGTCTCACACTCTATGATGAAAAAATTTCTTAGTTGTATACATTAAATAGCTTCCTTACCCCACATAGTGGAGAAACAATCCCACATTCAACCATACAATAAAGAAGGACCCACGTTAAAGCATCGGATCTTTAAAACATACGGACCCAACACATAAAGATTAAGAAATTAATAAACACATGATGTGACCACGAAAAAAAAAATTTTAAAAGTAACAACTCAAATCAATCACAAATTTATGTTGGTTACTACATATCACCAATAAGAACACAAAATTTCCAAATATAAGATACCATTTTTTTTTATTCTCTAAGAGCACAGAGATTATATACGACTGATAAACACACTTTATTAGAATATTCTTACCCGAAACCAAGTGGTAGAATTCGTGGTTTCTAGGTCAAGAATCAATATTACAATTTTCACCGTGGAGACATGTGAATGTGACGAAAAAAAAGATTATGACTTTTTTTTTTCCACACCGTTCTAGATTTTAGTTTAGAATAGTATACGCGATTACGACATGAATAGACTTGACCAGTTATTTATGCTTTAGCCAATGGCATTTGTTATATGGAAAACGTACATAATCACGAAAAAAAATCAAAGATAAAAACAACGACAATATCACATCAGCTCAAAAAAAAAAAATTAGCGAGGTACCCAATTCAGAATCAATGTCGATGGAATCTGTTTCTACGGTTTCAAAAAGAAAAAAAAAACCTGAAAAAACTGAAGTAATTTAATTATAACGATTAGTCAAAGAATAAAAATCTTCATCAAGAAGAAAGCCAGAACCCCCCAAATAAACCCCAAAATTACACCGACGTTAAAATTTCGAAATTGATAAAGAATAAATAAATAAATAAATAAGAGCAGAATGAGAGAACAAAATCCACGATAAGAAATCCAAATTTAGTTTCGGTTGATTGATTTGGTTAAAGGAAGAAGGCTTTAGTACGAAATCAAAATCTCGATAAGAAGCGGTTGGGGAAAATACAGCACCGACTCTTTTGAATTCAATTTCCAGAATCATTTCCCTTGAAATGATGATACAAATAAGAAAATGAGAAATGGAAACAGAAACGTACAAAACAAATTAGCTCAAACCCGTAGAAAAGCAGGCGCCGAATCCAGAAACCTTCGAAAAGAAAATCGAGATAAGCTGCAGAGGGAAACAATGGCGGTACGAGAAACGCTATGTTTGGCAACCAAGAAAACAGGGGAAAAGAAAACCTTGAGAGAGTTTAACGGAGAAGAAGCAGAAACCAAGTCAACCTCGGGCTTTAGAAAAAAAAGGAAAAGAAAAGCTTTGTTCTTTCTCGGCGGCCAAACAGACCAAATTATTGCAAGTGAAACAGCTCAGAAAGGAGAGAGAGATACGAGTATTTATGACTGAAAATCAACAAACAACAAACAGGAAGTGAACAGAAATATTAATTAAAAAAAGGGGAAAATCGCAGAGAACGAGAACGAGAATCATGCGCCAAAAAAAAAAAAATAAAATAAAAAAGAAAGAACGGAAAAATTACCTAATCGAGGAAAAAGCCAATGAACGAATGAGAATGAGAGAGAGAAAAGAAAGAAAGCCTCAAAAATAGAGCTTTGGTATTTATAGAGTTTTTTCGGGATTCCACGAGGTATGCGCTGTTCTGTTTCCGAAACAGTCTTCACAATCCGTGTAAGTCACGCGTCGACGTACCGGCGAGTGATTGTCACTTACTCGATCAGGCGCGTGAGATTCATTGACGTTAATTCTGTTTTCTTCCCCCCTTTTTTTTTTTTTTCAGTTTTTCCTATTTCGTAATAATTTATTAAATTAGTTCGTAACGGAAGAAGTAAAGGCCTGGACCAGAAAGTTTTATCTTTTCCTTTTTTTTTTTTTCCTAGTCAGATTAAGAAAAAGAAAAAAAAGGGAAAACAATTATATATTGGTTGGTGAATTAATTGAGTTTAATAACGAGCAAAACCGGAAAGCGTTAGTGGGGCCCGCGGGATCTGGGAGGACACGTGGCGGCGGGGAGAGAAGGGGCAAAGCGCGTGAGGACACCTGTGATTGAGTAGTCGCTGACGTGGCCACGTTGGAGGGTGGGGCCCAGACCGAGGTTCTGGACGTGTGCGAACGTGTCGTCGCTTTCGTTAACAAGTGGGTGGTCGTCGGTGACGGTTGGGATGTCAGCGTCTGGGGGATATGGAGGGCAAGGTGGGTCCCACCTCTTCAAGCAATGGGACATCGTGCCCGTCGTTCTAAGAAACCGTGACCACACGATGGCCTATGTGGGCCATACCTTCCACGTGGTGTCCCGATAAAATGCTTCACACTAACTGACAGCCCGAGATGTACACGTGTCACCACAATATTGCTTTCAGAACCTGTTGCTATTGCGAGCGAGATATTACCAAAGTGCAATTTTTTTTTTTAATTCCAGGGAAAAAAAAAAAAATCTTTTTCGTAATATTATCAGAGAGCATTTCTGGTATTATTTCTACGTCTCTGTTTGATATATATGTTTCAGAAAAACGTATGCTTTATAAGATAACTTTCATGTGATATGTGCTCTTAAAAAAAATAAACTTTATAGTTCATGTGATATGCGTGATATTCAACATCAGTGATAAGTCATGTGATAATAAGCGTAGTTTTTTTTTTTTTTTTTTTTTTTTTTTTTTTTTTTTTTTTTTTTATAGTTATACCAATCACGTAATAAGTGTGATTTATTGGGTTTCATATTGAAATAAAATAAATTCTCCCTTCTAGAATAAATACAAAACATTTTTTTTATGAACTTGATAATGTATTGATACCCTTCAATAGAAATATTTCATATTGATATAGTTGAAATCGGCCTTATATTGCATGAGTGGTGCTAAGACTGCGTTGCAAGAATGTATAAGTATCCGAGTTATTAAGATAGTAATTTGTAAACCGATTTTATTTTTAATATCTAGAATAAACAATCGACAATGACAATATTATTTTCCACACGCGTTGAAAACAATTTAATTAATTTACTGATGGCATTTTCAATTATGGACGATCAGCTCTCATCTCTTTTGTTGTTTTTTAATAGTAAAACAAAAGGAACGTTTTCAGCTTCGATATAATATATGTGATCACAATAACTACCCTTTTGTTTTATTTTTTGCTGAAATAATTCCACTTTTTACTATTAATATAAGATTGATTGGGACATTATTACATTTTACTTCTATTGGCTAAATTGCTAGTCAACATTGATGATTAGCAAATTTCTTGTTGACTACGCAGCAATTAGCATGATACTTTTCAGTTTTCTCCACCAATATTTCCCTTTTAAATATAAGAGCATCACCCACGGTTTTAATTGAAAAAAATAGACAAACACCATAATCGTTAGTATCAATGAAAGGAAAAACAAACCAAAATTTCTTGATGAAACTTCCTAATCCCCGCATTGATCTTTTTCACTGAAATTGACGCAATTGGCGGTAGAGCATTCATGTCAGCAATTAAGGGCTTGTTTGAAAAACTCAAAAAAATGCAATTCGAGTTACAACTTTATTTGAGTTCACGTTCTTTTAAGTTTAAACTCGAGTTTATGACTAAAACTCGAGTTCAAGTTTCCCCTTCAACTCGAGTTCAGAAACTCGAACTTAAATTAATGAACAGTATTTTTTCTATTATTAAAAATGCTATAATTTTTTCGTTTTAATTCTGATTGAGATGATTTTTTTTCTACACATTGACAACGAAAAGACGAATAAAACCCAACCCATATACCCTATTAAAATTTTTCATCAGCATTGAGTTTTTATTAAAATACTATCTAAATATAAATTCAAGTTTTGACTCACTCAAACACAAACTCAAAAAGATTATTATCTCAAACTATAACTTAAATGTATACAACTAAACACAAACTCAAGTTACAAATTCAAATCAAATTATAACTCAAATTCAACTCAAAAATTATATTCAAGTTAAACTCTAAAAGAACACGCCGATGTGAAATTAGTTATTAGCAAAAAATATATAGGATTTTTTTTTTTTTTTTTTTTTTGCAGTAAAAAAATGAATTGAGACGTGAAAACTACTAATTACTTACGTGCATGGCATAAATAATTGTTTTTATTATATATACTTTAATGCCCCCCGCACCAACCTGAGGGCCCACCCGACAGCTAAAACTATGGGGGGGCACACGTGTGGGATTTGGTGGGACCCAGACCTAGCTGGCGACAGGGGTTGTTTTTTTACCAAGTCAAAGAACATTAACGGGGAAAGCTAAAAATACGGCAAGGGAGAGAGAGAAAGAGGAGTTGGGAAGAGTGAGATTTGGCTTTTCAAGAAGGGGAGGGTCTGAGTCTTTGACTCTTGACTCTTGACTTGGAGTTAATTACTTAAATAAATTAAAGAAATCTTTTTCTTTTTAAGAAAATTATATTTTAAAAGCAACGGGATTGGGTCCCACCGACGGTTGGAGGTAATCTCTTGGAACTTGGAAGTTGGAATTTTTTTTTTATTTTTTTTATAGAAAAATCCCCACCACGAGACGATGACAAACAACAGTCCACACACAGGGGACAGAATCTTGGCGTGCAAACGCCGCGAAATGCGACGGTAAAAGAGCGCGACTAGCACGCTGTGGTCTGGTCGCTTTGTCATTTATTCCTTTGCTCTCTTACTATGGACTATTCCACGCCTTTTGATTTCACATCTTTTGACTCTTTTAACATAATAACATTAGTAGAGCACTTTGTAGAAGTTTCCTAACCATTTCCCTCTCTCTCCCCCCTCTTTCTAGTCTCTACTTTCATTTATTACATCATGCTTGCGTATGAGCTAGTTTCGTAGTGCCGTAAATTTTTAAAAAATTATTATTAATTGTGTTAAAAAAAAATTAAGTGTTTAGTAAACTGTAATTATATAAGTATTTATTACAAAAATATTATAAGTATTATAAAAGTTTTATTAATTATATTTTAAGGTGATTGCGGCACAATCTAAAAGTTAAAAATTTTTTTTAGATTATTTTTTATTTTGACCGTAAATTCTTCAAAAATTCTTTAAGAATCACTTATGATTTTTACCAAACACAAATTTCAATTGTGCATTGCTAGAGAATTAATTTTGGATTTTAAGAATCACTACCAAACATACCATATATCGTATTAAGTATCTTTTCTAGAGTGTTTCTAAGATAATGTCTTATATTAATAGTGTACGCTTCTCAATGTTAATTCGATTAAAATCACATCAAAATAATGTATATATATATATATATATATAATTAGTAGTTTTTATAAGGATCCAACGTTTGTAAACAACAATAGAGTTTTTTTGCATCACTTTTAAAGCCGTTTTCGACTTTTGAATCCAAAAATTTTGAGTGTGTTTAAACTTTAAATGGCGTTTGATAGAGGTTTTAATCTTTCAAAAACAACTCGAAAACATTTTTGTCTCGTTAAATGCTTAATACAATATACTCTCATGAGCTAACTCGAAATTCATAACTTTTACTTAAAATATGAGCAAAATGGTGCCAAATAATTAATAAGCACTTGCTATTAGAATTTCGGTAGCACACTCAAAGACATTGTCATACATCGTCTATTACCGTCCTGTTTAAGACATGTCATCTGCAATATATCAAAATTGCAAGTATATGATTTCGAGCTAATGGCTATAAAATAACCACTTTATAATGGCAGTTTTATTTATTTATTTTTTTCTCTCTTTCTTCATAAAAAATGAAAGGTACAAATATATATAATTAGGTGATACGATACTATTTTATTTTTTATTTTTTTTAAGATATGATACGATTCTATTACTATTTGTAAGTCATATGATATAATCGACTAAAAGTTTTATTTACTTACTATCGTAAGCATAATGGTTAGGTCTCATTAATTACATAAGCCAATTATATATAATATAACTAGATGAAAAATACAAGAAATGAAAATCGTTAATATAATACTTGATTTTGGTCCACGCATATTGTCAATAGTCGGTGCCAAAACACTTGTTAACGTGTGGTACAGTTTCTCTACAACAAAAGAAAAAAAAAAAAAGTTTGTTCTATGAAAAAAGAGATTCCTTAACAAGATGTTTGGTACCAACATATCATATGAATTAGGTGGGAATGCATGCAGTAATGTAATGTCTCTATTAAAAGATAGATTATAAATTAATGTCTTTTTTTTTTCCTATTTTTAATTTCCACAAGTTGACTTCTAGACCCTAGTATCTTTGTTGAGAAGAAACCTAAATCGCCAAAGTACTGCGGCACCAAGTACCCTTAAACGGCTAAAACATATATTCAAAAGGCCTCTAACTCAAGAAAATTAATCAAAATATCCGTTACTTAACTCCCAAGCAATCAAAACAAATTTGA